GAATTGTGTTGGTACAAGGCATGCATAATTTAGGTAGTTTTATTTATTTATCATGTTTGCTAAGCGCATGCAGAGCCGTATGGACACTACACAGGAAGATTTTATTTCTAAAAATGGTAACATTAACAGTTGAGGCTATCGCTATGAATCCTTTAAAATTCTGCCTTCTTCCTAAGCACAGTCTCTTTTCAGTCACTGCCATCCCACAAACCCCAGCCTCCCGTTCCCAGAGAGGAAGCGGGCTCCTGCAGGGTCCACCCTTCCGGGCTGTCCCGGGGTCCAGCCCATCCTGGCTCTCCTCATCCTGGCTCCCTGGGTCACACATCTTCTCTTCTCCCTCATCCTGGCTCCCTGGGTCACACGTCTTCTCTTCTCCCTCGGGGCCTCCTCTCTGTGCCGTGGAATGCGCTGTCCTCTTCTGAGTCCCCAGGCTCCACACTCCTCAGTGAGCTGGGCAGGTGGGCAGAACAAAGCACCCCTGGGACTTCCGTTAACCCACGCTAACTCGCGGCTTCAGCATCCTTGTTGAAATGTTTTCCTCCCCTGGCTTCTATCATACCAGACTTTTGTTTGAGTCTGAATGTATTTCTTTGAATTGACCTTCTGTACTTTCCCTAGACCCTGAGTCTTCCACTGCGGCTCTCTTTCTTACTCTTTTACATTCTTCAGCCATGGAGCGCTCCCACTTGCTGTCTAGGTATTTGTAGATAAGAACCAAAAATTATTCTAAAGCCTCATCTATTTATTTAGCTCTCGTTCAGGTGCGCATCTTCCTCAGCTTCACAGTGGCCAGCCAGAGTTTCCCACAGTCCTCCCTGGGGCATCTTCGCAATCACTTGTGTTACCATGTCTTTCAATCCCAAAGAAATGTTCCTATTGCTACCTGATTTCCACTCAGTCGCCCAAACGCGACCCTTCAGATTCTCCTTTCACTAATAACCATTGCTGACCTCTGACCCCAGCTCTGGTGCAGCTGGCTTTTCCTGCACACACTCAGAATCACTGAAGCGAGTGCTCAACACAGCCTTGTACAGTCTCTCTCCTTCCTTTTCAGTTTTACTAACAGATGCTTTCCAAAACCTCAGCCTCAACCTCCTTAAAGCTCTTTTTGGCCAGTGGCTGAAGATCAGAGCTGGAGAGCAATAAAAACTTCCCAGCAAAGGACAGAAAGAATTGCTAAGTTTCTGCATTATTACACTCGATTTCAGGATAACGTTTTTCCTAAGTATTGAAACAGCATTTAATTTCAGACAAAACAGATTTTAGAGTGGAATAAAGGTGACATTTCTTCAATTAAGAAGACACTACAGAAAAAAGCACCGATCCCAGGCCTCTCTATTGTGATCATGTTGTTGGTTTCACTAATACCTGTTGAAACATCCTTGCATCTACATTCCCTGATTCAATAACTAAGAAGCAATGACAGAAATAAAAACCAGTTCTTGAAAGGCAGCATGGTGCACACTTTGAAATAGTGGCCTTCTGGACCAGACCTGTCTCTCACTTCTCACTCTGTACAAGTGAGGTGTCTGCTTTAGAAAAGAAGAGGGACTTTCTGCCCCCTGGAGTTTCTTTTGAACCTAAGTTTCTATGTACGTGAAGGATGGAGCTTACAGTTTCAAAGTCCAGATGGCGTCTTTTTCTTCACAGTCATTTCAGATAGTTAGGCCAACCCAGCAGGTATAACCCTCATCTCTGGAGTGTTATTATCATTTTTAAAGGTGGCAGGCTCTTCTAGAACTGCCCATCAGAGGAGAGCAGATGGCTGGACGTGGAGAGGCACAAGCTGAGCGTGAGCCTTCCTCCTCCATCTCTGCTCCGCACAAACACACTGCCCCACATACCTGGACTGTCAGCAGCTAGGTGTGGGGCAGTGTGGTGCATGGATTCTGGAAGCAGAAACAGCTGCGTTTAGGTGTTTATGCTCAAGCAGCGGCATGATCAGCGTGGCGTGCTGATTGTGAGCACAATCTCTTATGTTTCAGTAATTTCAATCTCCTATGTTCCAAATTTATTTTTCCCAAATAAGTAGTAAAATATTACTTCTTGCCTGAACAACCTTCAGTGAACATGAAGTACAGTTCAGACTCTTCAGCCTGACATGTGAGACCCTCTTTGTGATGATCTTGTCCAACCTTTCCCGCAGTGTTCCCACCATTCCTAAATATTCTCTGTCCTTAGCTGTCTGACGTTCTTCATGATGTTGCCTTCACCTTAAACTTGTCATCCGATCTTTCTTTTACGTTATTTTAAGGTGCTTTCTGAACTTGGCTTTCTCCCTCAATGGTTTCCCCTGTAGTCTCTCCCCAACGTCAAATCATTTTTTAAAATTTCATTGGAATATTTTGATCTTCCCTTCTGGGTCGTGATTATACCTTATCGGAGTCCAGTATTCGTTTCATCAGAACCAAGACCCAGTCACTGTGTGACTCGCAAGCATAAATGGTCTATAAATTCTGTCTTCCTTTTCTGAGGTCTGCATGGGGACAGTTGAAGCACGCTAGTCCTGCTCGGTACATTTTTGTCGCTGTGCAGCTGCTTACACAGAGGTCGAGTCCGCACGCGAGCTGTGCAGGCCCGCAGCCCTCCACCTCCTCCTCCTCTTCAAACTTCCACCCTGGCATCCGCAGGTGCTGTGCACACAGGGCTCCTTGAAACAGCCAGCGGACTCCTGCTCATGAGAGTTTTTATTCTCATATTTATTTCTCCAGGAGAAATAAGTGAATCTAGACAAAACAATATTTTAGTGTTAGGTGTGCTATAATCCACAAAAATGAAATGTATGTTCCTCTGGAAAAGGACCTGATCTCTGTTTAATTTTACACCCCTCTTCCACAGAAATGAGCAGACTCTTCCTGAAAGAAACAAAAGTATTTTCTATTAGCTACTCTGAAATTTTAAAAATATAGTTATACTGCTGTGGTATTTGAAAACATCATATAAACACATATATCTTTCCTTAACTTTTGCAGTATTTTATTACCCATCTTTAAGGTGTATTAAAATGTACCATGAGTGAAGTTTTTAAAATTACAGTAAAAACCCATTACCATTAATCCTCCTCAAAATATCCCTCTGGTTTCAAACATACCTCACCACCCTTCCAGCTGCTTTCTGAAGCAGTTCTGGTGTCAGCTTTCACGTTCCTCTTTACAAGGTTTGATCAGAAATGAAGTGAAAGCGGCTGCTCAGCACCATCCAACGGAAAGGAAGCCCAGTAAAACCTTCACAGTGGGACCTCGGCCACCTTATTCACAGGGTCTGGCACATTGGACTCCTGGCTCTTACCCAAAGTCAGGATGACCATGAAAGGGAACCGTTAAGAGTCCTCAATTATATTTTATAGCATCACCTCTGACTTAGGATTACTTTCTTCTTATTCCAGTATGTGCTTGTCACTTACTGTATAAAAGATTAAATGATTTCCCTAATACAACTTGAGTTATTCTTATATATTTGAGCTTCACTATAAATTTATATAGATTTCGGGGGCTGGAGATTTAGCTCAGCGGCATAAGTGCCTACCTTGCAAGCAGGCAGTCATGAGTTCAATCCCTGGTACTGGTAAAAAACGAAAAAGACAAAAAAAGAATTTATATAGATTTAAAATGTGTAGTCTAGTATGTAGGTTTATGTGCCCCTTATGTAATGGTTATCAAAGTCAGTGTAATTAACAAATCCATCATGGTATAAAGTTTTATTTGGGTTAGTGTGTGTGTGTGTGCATGTGCATGTATGTGTGTGCATTCAAGAACATTTAAAACTTACTGTCTCAGAAAATTTCAAGTACATAATATAATAGGTATATACATGAAGAGATAGGAGATACTCATGAACAGGACTGCCAGAACTCGTGACATTTATGTTTAAGCTTTTTCAGAATCCTGCACACTTCTCACCATAATAACTGTACCAATTTACATTCCCATCCCAGCACAGAGAGTTCCCTTGTATCCAAATGTGTCCCAACACTTATTATTTGACTTTTGACACTAGTTATCAGATAGGATGCCTTATCGTGGCTATAATTTCATCTCCATGACTATTGGTGATGCTCAGTGAGTATATTTTATGTGCCTGTTGGCCAATTGTGTGGTTTATTTTGAACTTTTTAAAAGTGAGTTATTTTTTCAAGTGGTTAAGAGATACGAGTTTCTTATATAGTTCAGATGAGCATGTGATTTGCAAATATTTCCCCCCACTTTCGAGTTGCCTGTTTGTTTTGTTGATTGTTTCTTTTCATTGCTCAGAAACCACCATAGTCCATTTAGACACCTTTCCTTCTGTTCCTTACACTTTTGATGCTACACCCATAGAGTCAAGCCAAAGAGCTTTTTCCTATACTTCCTTTTAAAATTTTTACAGCTTGGAGTCTCATGTTTAAGTATGTCATCCCTTTTGAATTGATTTTTGTGTAAGATAGAAAATAAAGTTTCAATGTAATTACTTTGTGTGTAGATAGTTTTCCCAAACCATCTATCATGTTCCCAATGTGCATTTATGACACTTTTGTCAAAGATTAAGTGACCCATGTTTATTGGTATTTTTTCTTGGACTCAGAATTGCCTGAAAAGCTAACATTCCCCATCAGTCCACTAATAAATGACATAGGTAGGTTGCATTCTGTGATGTAGCCTGTATATGAATCCATTTACATCGTTTCCTAAATCCCAACTGCAACTGTGACTTTTGAAAGGGTTTTTAAGTCAGAGAGGAGAGATGTGTATGTGGGACGGCAGGGGAGGACTCAGGGCAGTCTCTGTCTCCTGTCAGCGCTGGGTTCCCACTGCCACCATGGTGCCACAACAGTGCTGCACTGTGTGACCCCTTTCAGAGCTGGAGAAGGGCTGTGTTGTGAGATGCTCTTATGGGAAGCTGGCTGCTCAGCCTGTACACCAAGAGCTCTTTTGAATTTCCAAAGCCTTAAATACAATGTTCTCTCTTTGAGAAAACTGAAAAATCAAACTGTGATGTGATGAGTCTTCTTTTCTGCATTTTAGAAGAGTTTGAAGATGTGCCAGCCTCGATGAGAGCTAAAGGTACGTTTGAGATCCTTGCCTCCGTTTCGTGTTTCTGCTCAAGGCTGTGTGATGTTGTCTGACTTGCTTTGTTCCAGGGCTCTTGACCTAGTCTGCAGCTTATTAAAGCAGAGTTTACATGGTTAGACTCATTTTTATTAATAAAACTTTATTATATTATTTAGAAAATATATTTCTTCTTACATTAAATAAGCCAGTTAGGCATTACTAATATTGCCAGATGCATTTGCTGACTAATCTGCATGACCGTTCCTTCAAAATCATCACTTCACCAAGGATCAAAAATTACTGCTGAATCCAAGAGAACGATACCATCATTTCATCAATACTGCGGCACTGAGGTTAAAGAAGAGAAGAAAGGAATGGAGGAAGGAAGGAAGGCAATGAGGGAGAGAGAAAGGGAAGATAGAGGGGAGGGAGGAAGACCAAGGGAAAAGGAGAGGAAGAAAAGGCACAAAACTTCAAAAGCAGTGGACAAATACTCAGAAAAACCTGCTACTTCCAGGAATATGTTTCCATCTGTAGTGTGAGAGTTTGAACTGAACTTACAGGATTTTTAAAATCTTGTTTCTATGGGATTTTAGCTTCTCAGTTTGAGATCAGTATGAAGCAGTGTTTCTGTTCCACTTCCAACATGTTCTTAAATAATAATAATTTCCTGAAGCATTGTTCTTGCTGTTAAAGTGTAAGTTCTGTGGCACTATCCAAGCTTACCTGGAAATGTGAAAAATTCTGCACTGAGAAAAGTCATACAGGAATGAAGGTGTATGTAAGTCTTGTAAAATACAATCTACATTTACATATGCACTAAGACACTCTCCTGGAGAACCCTGTGTCTTTTGTAGGAATGTACATTAGTATAACCATTGTTGTACAGATTCTTGACAACTGAAAAATACAACTACATGGAATAGATCAGTACCACTGCCTAAGCCTCATTGCAGAGCCATACTTGCACTGCCATAATTGTTGAGTGGTTTTCACAGATAGCAGTTAAGCTGTGGAATCAACCTGGACGCCGTAGGTTGGAAAAGAAACTGTGGTGCACACACCCAGTGGAATGTCACACAGTCACTAAGAGAACACACTCCTGTTATTTGCAGCAGTGCGAATGGAAGTGGGATCGTCTTATCAAGTAAAGTCCCCTCGTTACATGGGTACCCTGTCATTTGTGGAGGTCAGAAAGCCAGTCATGTAAAACAGAGTGGAGGAGCGTTCAGTGGAGACCAGAAAGAGCTGCAGTGGTGGGAAGGCAGAAACAAGGTAAATAAAGGGCACCAGAACACAGAAAAAGAGGAAGTCTCTGACTTTATCACAGAAAAAAAGAGCATTTCCAAGTGGCTGAAAAGGAAGAGTATGAAATGCCCAACATAGTAAGAAGACTGCTAGTTAAGGAGACAGAAGTGCTTGCAATCAGATTGCAGCCTTACAGTGTTGTAACTCAGATCCGTGACCTCTTCTCAAGAAACAGAGGTGGGAACTGGTCCTCACCTGATAGTATCCAACACCCGAGGGCTAGTTGTCCTGTTGGAACAAGTGCTGGGAGCATGTTGTTTCCTCTTCCATAAGCTTCGGTCCTGCTCTCACTGTTGCCTGCTAATTTTCATGCTGAAAAACTGAGCAGAACCTGAATGTAAAGCTAGAGGGTGACTAACTTGTGTCTCTTTCCTGCTGTGGTCTTGTGGAGCCAATCTCATCACTATGTATGTTTACAAACTATCTAGAAACACTCACTGTCATATTTTTGTGTTCACTAGAAGAAACTGAAGATGTGTCTTCCCCAAAGAAGCAAAAAAGTAAGTTGATAATTAGATCATTAAATCCCTCTTTACTGAAGATGGTTTGTACAGATTTAAACTTTCAATCCCCTCGGGTGGTCCAGGATTAGAAAGAAAAATGGTTTCAGACCAAACATGAGTATAATATTAAAGTGAGTCACCTATATTTCATGGAAAAATTTGTCATTTTTGTCAGGCAAGAAACAGAATTGGAAGAATTAAGTGTGATGGCATTTATTAAAGTGGGGTTTATTGGGAGCTGTATCTACACAGCTGTGACCCCCAGTGCCCCAGCTTGCTTCAGCATGCATTACTCTATTCGGCATGAACATTAGGTGAAGTAATGTGAATTTTTTATATCAAGAAGAAAAATGTGAAAAAGGCTTTAGCAATTCAAATGTTTGAAAATTTGCTTCTAAGATTCAATTTTTTTTTCATTTTTTAACTATGTGGCGGATTCTTAATATTCAGTCTCCTGAATCCTTAATTTTAGAATGCAATCAATATTCATATGCAGTTACAATATTCAGTGTTCGAGATTCTCATTATCCCAGGACGTGAAAATTAGACTTTTCTGCTCATGTGGTAGAGTGATAAATTTCAGATGCACATATGCATTAAATAGAGTCATCCCTGGACAGATTAGAGGAAGCAATTTTTGAAATGGATGTAACTGAAGCCTTGCTCATATCATGTTTTTGAAATATAAATTAGACATTTTTCTGAGGAAATGATGTCTGTGGCTTTGGCGGTGCTTCTTATATAACATACAGGAAATTAGAAAAAGGTCCTTGATAGTAGCAAAGGTTTCCTACTTTGCGTTAATGGTTTATTCATTGGAAAAAATGTGGAGTACCCACTGTGTTCCAAGTATTGATTTACATGCTGAGAGTATTGTACCAAGTAAAAGATACTCATTGTAAGTCTAATACTTTCAGATTGTGAGAAACATAAAGAAATATACAAAGAGTCTAGTGATCATTTTAAGTATAATTGCAAAAACCATAAGAAAGAAAATCATAAAACTACTTGGGCATGTTTCCAATTTATACAGAAACACTTTTTGCCAGTGTTGCCTACTAGTTTAATCTGCAGCAATGTTGCATAAACACCCAAAACTTATTATTTTATAAATAAATATTGAAGTATAATTCAATAGAGGTAGGTAGACAACTTCAGTGCTAATTCCCTGATTGAGATATTGTGTTAATGTCTTATAAGAAGTTTTGTTAAAGGAGACTAGGTGAAAGTGCATAAGATATGTCTGTATTATTTCTTACAATTATTTTTATAGTTATCTTAAAATGAAAATTTTAATTAAAAATGTAAAAACAGAACATACATACTTTTAGTGAAAAAGTACCAAATATTTTAAGTTTCTGTAGGGGATTTATTACATCTAAACCATATTTTCTATTTTAATGTTTATTTATTTATTTATTTATTTTGGTACTTGGAATGGAACTGAAGACCTTTTACTCGGGCCTGGCCAGGTGCTGTGCCACTGAGCTATATCCCCAACTCTAATGTTGTTATAAGGCCATTCTAAAGCCTTGTATCTTTGAGCCTCTATGTAAGCTGTAAAACTTGCATCCATAATGATATTTTCATTAATGACTTATTCACTATCCATTAAATAAGTGCACCACAATAGTGTTTACATTGGATAAGGAAAGGTAGTCCCTTGTCTTAGCCACTTTCTCATCATTTTAACAAATACCCAGCATCCAAGTTAGAGGAGGAGAGTTTTATTTGGCTTACATTGTAGAAGTTTCAGTCCATGCTTATCAGACTTAAACACAGATATGGCATGGGACAAGGACTGGGTAGAGGAGAGATACTTGCACCATGGCAGTAACTTCCGGACGTAAAGCACGCGCACACACACACACACACACACACACACCTATTACCTTCCATATGACAGGATCATGTTCTGAAATAAATTCCTATGTACTGTCTCTATGATAGCCATGCACACCCATAGATTCTACACACTAAGCACTCAGATAGTCTCCAAGAGGACACTTGTATTATCACTTACTAAGGGCTTGTAGTATTCCAGGAAGGGTTCTAAGCACTCCACCTACATTGAAGCTGATTTTCATATTTGTGAAGTTTGTTTTTGTCAAGAAGAATTCAAGGCTCAAAAAAATTCAGTAACTTCCCAATAGCTGTTATCCTGCCTCACTCAGCTGTAAACCCACTCTTGGTTGTATTTGCCACGTTTTAACATCCATTATGTCTTTTTTTAGCTCCCATCAGTTTCTTCCAATGTGTCTATTTGGATGGATACAATGGCTATGGATTTCAGTTTCCTGTCACTCCTGCACAACGCCCTGGAGAGAATTCTGGAAAATCCAGTTCTTCAGGACAGAAGCAGCAAGGACAATAGACAACACATACATATGACCCTTACAAATACTTTATAATTGGGAAAATGACAGTTTCTGCATGGCCCACAATGGTCTTGGCAATTGAAGGCATGCCATCCTGACAATCTCCGTGAAGACAGTTTACTCTTATGTCTAGTGTAGAGACAATGGGTGGGAAAGGGGATGAACAATAAGCAAATTGTGGAAGGGTCTGATGTATAATAATCCCTCATTAGTGTTCATTGCTGTGAGAAGGCACTGCTTGCATTTTATATTTCCCTGCACTGCAAGGTTGTACACAAACTAAAGTTTACTTAATACTGGCTTTTTGAAATGCGATTCACACATTAACAAAATAAAATTCCTGGCTTTGGTTAGATATTTGTTTTTTTTTTTTTTTAACAGTAACATAGGCTGCACTCTCAGCTTAAATGGTACAGGAATTTATGTGAAAGACTCTTATGTATCACGTGAGATCTGAATCCAGTTTACTCAATAAGTGGATTCTGTGTAGTTTCATTTTACTTGTGTCTATTTCTCTTTTAGTCATGGTAATTCTATTTAACTGGCCAGAAGTTGCAGCAAAGAGTGTTGTATGTTCCCTGTGATACTCTTATGCTCAGAATATCTTTGAACTTTAGACTCATTAAGATGAAGAATAAATGCTTGATAAATTACCTCTAAGATTTGTCTTGAGCTACAGTTAAAACATTCATTCAGGCAGAAATAGGACAGTTCAGAGTGAATGTCTATTCACTCCAGGTGTAATTAAGACATTCATTTCATCCGGGCAGGCAAGTCTGCTGAATCACTTGCTTTAAATAGAAGCAAACAGCATGTAGATTTTTAGTTTTCTACAGACTGCCCTGTTGAAAATATCACTTATCTGAAGTTTCAGATCAATCATGAAATGTGGATTTTAAATACAAAAGTATTTTCATGTCATGGAAGTGTTCACATTCTTTCTATGAAATTAAGGGCTTTCTTTTTCAAAATAAAAAAAATACGAGAGCCACTAAATTTTAAGGAAAACGTTTGAACTGTAAATACTTTCATGCCTTACCTGTTTTTAAGGCACTTGGTCATCAGTGCCGGTGAAATAGTTTTTAACTTACTTGACAATTCCTCACTGGAAATGACAGTTATAATTTTGTCATCTGTCTAGTGATAGAAACACTCATGTTCTTTACAGTTTTGCTATCAACTCTTAAGGTCATGTTTCTGTGATCTTTTTTAATGTTTACAGTTGCAAAATCTTATGACAAAGTAACTCAGTAAATAATCTGAGTTATCTTTTCTGCCATTATAATTATCTTCATCAAGGTCTGACCTTGCCAGATCCTGTATTATCCAGGTGAATTATTTTCAATGACTGCAACTAACTATGATTTTTAACACCTACTAGTTTGGCTAAAAATCCTTAACCTAAAACATGTCATACATTCATTGTTAATAAATGGATTTTAGTAAGTTTTATGAAAGAAGTTGATCTCAGCCAGATACTGGCAGAACCAACTCACATCACAAAAGCCAACAGCACAATGAACCAGACTAATGACACTTTTTTTGTAGGGGACAGCCTGGAAGTAATTTCAGGTCTAATCAGATAGTACCAACTTACAAAGCCTCTTCATATACCTGGATAAACTCATGAGCAGGACAGTGAGCAAAAGTTATTGTCAAATTGCTCTCCTATCTGTTGAATTTAACAAGTAAAGGAACAGAGAGCAAACACAATAACTGTTTTATATTTCAAGAACAGAATATTATATCATTGAATGATTAATGTTCAATAAGTAAGCACTTAACTCTTTCTACTTTGTTAGGCACTGGACCATGTAAGATACAAATAAAACAATGTATTACCAGTGGTAACCTGACTTTGGAAAGTTTGCTTTTCATTTTTTTCAAGTGTAAAGTAGGGATATGAAGTTGATCATCCTAATACATCAGGTACTACGAAGAATGATCAAATATCTTCCTGTGTATATGACATCAGAATATACTTCTGAAATAATACTTCTGGATATGGGTCTATGTTTTCTCTGAAAACTTTGTCCATACTATGTTTCAACTTGTTTTATGCTCATTTGAAAACAATTTGATAAAAATTAAAATGTGGCATACTTTACTGTACTTAGAATTCAGGTAAACATTATAATGTAAGCAATTTTAATTGCTGTTTACATTTGTCTGATTAAAATTACAACGAAGATAACACTTCAAAAATATCATTCTAAATTGTCATCCGTTCCAATCAAATAAAATATTTCTAACCCTTTCAAAAGTAATGTCTCATATTTTAAAAGAAAAAGATAGATGGTTACTTCTTCTCTTTGATAATTCATTACTAATGTCATATTGACTCAAACATGTATGTAGTAATTGTCTTAATTTTCTAATTTTCAAGTTGATATGAGTTATGTTTTCCAATGTTTTCTCTGCCCCACCTCTTACACTCTCTGAATAATTGATGTTATGTTAAAAATAAAAATTTATTTCACATAAGGTTTTCAGTTTATGTTTAGTTTTCATAAAGCCAGAGAAAACATCATTAAAATTTGGTAAAGGTTTGTTTTACAATTATCCTAGCATCAACTGTCTCTACCTTGAATTGTTCCAATGTATCCTTGTCAAAAATCATCAGAGAAATGTTCTATAAAGAATACTACATATTTAGAGATTCAGATTATTTCCTATGGCAATTTGGCTGCAAATAAAACAAAATGAATAGCAAACATTACTAGTAGAAAACTTGGTGGTCATCCAGCTCAACTGAAATACACAGAACATAAAAATAGTTCCTGTAGAAATTCAAATATTTGTCCAAATTCACTGGTCATTTCAAAGCCTGGCTTTAAAATTTTGAATCTCAAATCTGTAAACTTTTCTCAGGGTATTACAAACCTTGGCTAATTTCTCCAGCCAAGTTATATCCAGATGTAACTTTCAAATAATGATCAGTATTAGAAAGGTAACCCTCTGTGGAAAGAGGAAGAGATAAAGCAAAGGAACCCTGGGGGGAGTTTGGGAGACCTGACCCAGGACATAGTACTTACTGGTAACAGAACTATATAGAGAACTCAGGTCTGCTTTGCTAATGCTCTTGCCTAGGCCCCTCCCTGGGATGTCTCTGCTATCACAAAGCTTGCTTTTGTTATTTGCAAATTTACTAAGACATAGAAATGCAGCACAGCCCCCCCCCCCCCATCTCTTTGCAGCATCCTTTGCCTGCTCCTTCCAGGATGATATTCATGCCACACCATGTCTTTCCACTCATTCATCATACAAACTTGAGTAACATTTAGATATTCCCACAGGTACTTTCCTTTGTGTCTAAAGAAGCTTGCATGTCCCAGGCTTTTTGACTGCATAAAAATTCATTAGGCATTCCACTGAAAAATTCCAAGTATTTTCTTTGGGTAAAAAGGAAGAAATAATAGCTCATTTTAAATTAATTACAACTCCTTGAAAGATGCAGGTGAACAGAGAATAGTAGCAAATGATTATAAAGCACATTTAATTACAAGAGGAAAGCTCATCATAATGGAAATGAATCCTTGCTTATCAGTGTTTAAGACTCCCAGAATTTCTAGCAAGAAGCATCCCTTAGCGAAGCAGCAAGAACACAGTGAGAATTCATGCTTTTTCATGCAGCCACGTTCAGCAGCAAGCCATGTCTCCTCTGTGATAGTCCCTTATCTGTGTTCTCTGCTGGACTTGGAGCATGAAGTAACTACACAGAGCCACTCACTGGTGTTATTTTTACTTTTTTGCCCATCACACTCAAACTTCATTGACTGATTTAATAGCTGCTCAGTAGATGAGTCCACGTCTCCAGGTGGATCTCTCAGGCCAGATGTGTTCTGAGAACAAATAGAGTCCATGCAGCCTTTGGAACTGAAGTCAGACTCTTAGGCTGACACTCACATTGCTCATTCATCTCTGGCCCTCCTTGATTCTTTCCTCCTAAATGAAAATAAACATTCCCATTGAAAAGGACTTTATCTTTTATGAGGCCAGGATTCTAGGAAAGAACGTTGAATGGATATGCTATTCTTTGAAGCTTTCAACTTCCCCTCAGGTTTATTATAAAATGATCCAAACATAGATGCACTGAAGATCTCATGTTGCTAAGTGGTATGAACTAGAGCAGCCAAAGAAAACCAGAACTGTATGAGGTAAGCATGAAAATGCAAACATTGCCCTTGGTCAAACATTGGTCAAAATTATTTTGCTTTTACAGAAAAAAAAATCACTGTTTTGTGTCATTTTCATGAAATTTCTATAAATTGATGTCAATAAACTATGGTAAAAAAAAATGTCCTTCAGTCCCTTGTGAGTGAAAAGCTGAGATGCATCTGTGACTTGATTATTCAGAGACAATGCATGGAATTCAGTGTTCCCCAAAACATCTGAAGGTGTTCTAGAGCCTGTTTGTAAAGTTACTGCTGAAATAAGTGCCACCTGCAACACCCCGACCATGAAACCCTTTAGCATATTTAGTATTTCCTTTTACTCTGAAAGAAATGTCACTGCATTTTGCTGAAGTTTGTCCTCAAATCCTTGTCCTCCAAGTTGCTTTGTTCTGCTTGGTTTCTTGCATCTAACCATACACACTACAACTTGGGAGCCAGCTGATATTCTTGCAAGAAATCTCATGAAGAACGTGTGCTCAGGGTCTGTTCCTTGTAGTCTTGGGTCCTGGGGACTTGGCCACGTAGGCTAAAAGAACAAGAGTCTTCTTCCTGGCCTGTAGAGAACTTTGAAGCCTTCATCTTGTCCTCTGTTTCCTCTAATGTGACTGTCAAATCTCCCTAAGGGACAAAGTGGAGTGGAGATGATGTTTATTTAGTATTCTTCCCTCTTTCTCTAGGATTTCACTCAGTGATTCTTGACTGATTTGTTTGCTTTTTACGCCTTTTGAATAGTATGTCTCTTCAACTAGCTTTTATAGTTGTTCTCAGCAAAGAATTAAGTTGTTTGTTTGTTTGTTTGTTTTGAGGCAGAGTCTTTCTATGTAGTTCAGGCTCACCTCAAATTCATGGCAACCCTCCTGCCTCAACCTGCTGAGTGCTGGGATCACAGTCAGCAAGGGCTTGACTTGAGAAAACGACTGCACTGGTTGTCAGTGAAAACTGCACTTGTGTTTTTAACAGTGATATAATATCTCCAGGAGTAAATATTCCATCTTTTATTGAACTAGGCCACAATTCCACAGACATTAGGATCATTTCCTATTATTTTTATATTAATAATGAGGTACAATGAAAACCTTAGACATGCATCTCTACACAAACACCTGTACACCCACCCACACACAGTTTAGCAATGTAGGGAAGTTCACCAAAGAGGCATTTTGTAATTTAAATATGTTCATTTGGAATTTTTGAGGGGGTAAC